CTGCCATGTCTGCTCTCATATGAAAGCTCAAAGACCTACATGTAGGGAGTTGATCCTGGCAAGGATTTACACAATCTCATCATTTTGGGGACCAAACAATCTCCTTGTTCAAAAGATACTGTGGGGGCACTTTTAATGCTAATGAGCTTGCCAGAAATTCTCACTTGAATTAGTGGTTTGCACCCTGCGAGAATATTTAGCATGTTTAGCTTTAAAATCTAACCATGCTGAATCAGGCATGTAAACTATCCGGTGTCTGCTGTGCTTCATCCCATGAACGTGGGGTGGGGAATTTGGTGGACGTCGAACCCCAGCAGCTCATAGTTCTGAGGGAAAGATTTCCATTGTGTACGGATGCCAGTAGGCCTACATGTAATTATTCCCTACAGTTAGCCATCAGAAAGCAAAATATGTCCAGAAAAGTTCAATTTACATAATTTAGGAGGGAAAATACCCAGTCGATGAGGCCCTTCTTAGAAAACACTTGCTTAGAATTTGGGGATTGTAGGCCTATATGTGGGAAGCCCAGTTTTTTGACGTCTTGTAATATTGGTCAGTCCTTCCCCCCAGAACCAAAGGCAATGTTCTCTTTATTGCACTGACCCTATTTATTGGAAATTTTGAATTGTAAGTTGTGAGAAAATGTGACTTTCTGCTCACTGATAACCGGCCGTGCAAATTTGAATCCACCATGTTTCATGTGTTACAACACTCACATGTCCCCTCATACATGTAGTTTTGCTCAAAACTCAAAACCCTGTCCTCTTTTCACAACATCAACCCTGCAGTTATTGAGCATGATGTCATAGGCACAGGCCTAGTCATCTACTAAGGTGAATCTAAAAGTTAAAATGTAGGCCTCCCTTCTATTATAGGAACGGGTTCCCCAAATATACAATCCCCTATAATTTTTCAGACCAGTTTCAAAGGGTTTATATGGTTACGGTTTTTAAAGGGTTTAGGGTGTCAAGTGGTGTCCGCATATGGAACTCCTTCCACTGTTGGAGCTGAGGGGCTTTTAAAAATAAGGCTGAATTTTAACATGGAATTTCATGTGAGAAATTTTATAACTGTGAGAAAATCTGTGAACTTGCATGTCTGGGACTCTAATGTTAGGCCTACCAGTGTCAACAAAGAGTAGCCTTTGGATTATGTGGACATGATCAGGAAAAAGGTAGTTGAAGTTGGCCCTGTTGGCTATGTTGTGCCTAGGCCCTACTTGTGCATTTAGGTCTATACCAGCCTGCCGTGCCTACATCATGGTACACAGACCTACACGTTCATGTACATATGCAGCTAGGAGTTCACCTCCTTTGAGCCATTCTCCTCTTGTAGTGTCCATCCAACAGCTGTCATGGCTGTTGCCATTATTCAAATGTGCCATTGGTGCATTTGGTCTGTTTCAGATGAGTTAAAAGGCAAAGAACTGGATACAAGCCTGGGCAAACAAATCTAATAAATACACAAACAGTAATGTGCTATGCCTTTGCTATTTTTGAAAAGGTCTCACAGCTGCTGTACTACTGTAACTTTAGCCTCTTTGTTTAGTCTAACATGACCTTTTTTTGCCACTTTGAATCTGCTGACAAGGCACCTCTCAAAAGAAGGCCTGGAACAGTGCAAGAATGGCTCACCAGATTCCCGGGTCGAATCCATCGTACGCAAGGCTATGGATGTAAGTGGGCATTTGCCAACCTGTGGAAGTAGCCTTTTGGCCCAATGAGTCTCGTCTGTTTCCCCACCATGTTTTAAAAGATGCCATTAAGCTTTTATACTGGCCACCAAGTTTAAAATTTGGGAGCTACATTTACATTTACAGTGTGAGAACTTACATAAATATGATGAAGAAAGCTGTCTAGAAATTTGCTAGATTTTTGACAAAGAGCAATGACCCCCCCCCAATATTTTTGTCATTTCTTACCAAGTTTATAATTTACAACTTGGAGAGCACTTGTGGTCTGCATACAATGTACATCAGGCCAGATGTGTGAATTCCCCCCCCCTTCCCCTGCACACGCAACTGACCCACTGTTACTTTGGTAGTTATCCTAAAATACAATGTGAAAACTGCAGACAAATTTGACAGGGTTCAATTGAGTTTTGTGTACAAGAGGCCAGGAATGTGTGTTGAGACGTCTATTGGTTTGATAGCTGATATTCACTTGGCTTTGAGTCTGTTTGATTGTTCATTCTATAGAGGTTCTGCATGGCAGCCATATTTCCGGGAACTATTTTTGGCGCGGAGGGATACATGTAGCACAAAAGGTCTACTCGTGTGTATCTCTGTGGAACAAAAGCTCTTACCGGAAAAATGGCTGCCATGCACAACATCTAGTACCTGACTTACAAGCACTTGTGTGGGGGGGGGTAGTAATTGAATGCACTGAGGAAGCCCCCACCAGCTGTTATTCAGATAACCATCCAGCTGCAATTAGTTCAAACAGCTGGCAGAATGGTGCATCATTGTTAATATTGTTGATTTATGTAAAGAAGTCGATGTACATGTACATGTACTGCCTCTGGAGGCCTCAAGGCTAAATTGTGTATAGTTTGCAAATGAAAAGGTTTGTGTTTTATTTGTTTCTGCTGCTTATTTAATAAACCAACAAAATAAAGTTCTATCACTGCTGGAGTGCTCCTGAGTATATAGTAGTCTTACGATAACCAACGAGGGACTGTTGATCTTACAGAAAAGCTCTTCGGGGGGGGGTGTATTAACCCTAACAGTCCTCAGTCCTCCAACAGGTGAAGGATTGAGGACTGTATTTAACAGTATCTGTCATTCAGAGGCGCTGATATGTTATCATACCTGCATATTGGGCTTACAACAACTGAACATCACTGAAACCATTTCAGCCCCCTGGGGAGTACACTAGCCAGATGCTGCCATATCAGGTGCAAAAAGTTGGACATAATAACCAAATCTGCCTTCACAAGTACAGGTACCCATTCACTCCTGGGTGGAGAGAGACACGTTGGGGGGAGAGAGACACGTTTGGGGTAAAGTGACTTGCCCCACAGTTACATCATGCTGCTGCCACCTGGATCTGACTTTCCGACCCCATGATCGAAAACCAGACCCAAACCCTTAGCCCAACTATTCTCCCGACGACTTGGGGTGCAATATTGATCAGTCATTACATAATAAAGGAGAAACATAATATATATGGCACTCAGTCAATCTGAAGTCATCCATTGCTAGTTAATCTTACCTTTTGGCATTTGTGTACATATAACTCCATCTGATGTCTACGTTCTTGAGCTTTGTTCACACTTTACCAGTTCAATATTTGGCAGTAAATTACATACATGTAGTTATACTCAAAAAGAACTTGTCGGCAATAAGGTTAAGGTGTATGTGTACTGTGCATCATTGTTCAATTTTAATGAGGCTTTTTTATCTTTTGGGCAGCTGGACCTGCGTCACATTGGAGTTGCTGCTTTTCCTACCGACATCAACAAGGGAAAGGCAGACAAGGTAATAAAGTGGTTCAGTTTATACAAGTAACCAATTGTTGATGGTATTATTTTGACAACAGACTGGCTCCAGGTGTGACGTAATATTCAGCAGAAAATCTCTTTGAACGGTCGCTCGTGTGATATTTGTATCATTTCTTCTGTAATCTAACCTTTTCTACACATCGGATGAGGCAACGCTGCAGAGCGATACTTGCCAAGATGGCCAGTTGTGGCACAAGGCACAGTCATTAGCCTCCATGGACTAGCCTCACCCTCAGTGGGTACAGAACTAGACCCCCCTCTGTTTGTAGAAATTGCCAGGACATGTTGATGAGCTCCCTTTGAAACTGGCCCCAGAACATGCAGAATCGTCGCGGATTAAAACATCCTCTGGCACAGACTGGTTCATTTGTCTAATGTTACAGTTCTTGACAGCAAGGGGATTCTTAAGATATGGATTATTGAAACCTTCAAAGTAATGTCAAAATGCCCCTAGCTTTTCCATTAGAATAATTCAGGTACTTGACATGAAAATTATGACAACACAAAAGGACGGGATTCCAGTACTGTTCACCGCAGCCCTATAATTGAAATGATTTTTCTGGATTTGTCTCTGATAAGCTTCAAGGCCCGATGGTTTTACAAGTGCAAAAGACGAGGAACATCTCCGCCCCCAAAGTCAATGAGGATTCAGGTGTAGCCCCGCCCCTCCTACGCCTGCAGCTGACAGATGGCCACACCACTGCCATGGCACTCGTTATCAGTAACATTACCAAGATTGGGTAAGCTTCTCAGACTGGCCAATTTAAGGGAGGCTCGTATTAGACGTCGTAAATGGAAAGTGAATTTTACATCATGAAGGTTTGTAGCGAAATTTGCCAGACTTTTGATGTGTGTTTAGTTGTTTGTAGTTGGCTATGCAAGTTATTACTAGAACATAAAGAAATGGTACCTGTTAACGTGGAGATACTTGTGATGAGTGAACCAGCTTACAGTTTGATGAAGGAGGTTATTCCTCCGTAATTACCTCCTGTGTGACCCAGTGTTACATGCGCAATGTGTTACCTGTCTTGGAAAGGGCTCATAGTTTGTTAGCGATATTACTCTGTATACATGTACATCAGACAGAAGGGCCTATTCAGAAGAAGTGTATAAATGGGATCCCATGTGGGTAAAACAATGAGGGCATTTGGTTTTCAAACGGACAATCTGTGCATGTATGTGCCATGAAGTTTGTAGTGTAGCTCTCCAACATCACGCTCGTGGTAATGTGATTGGGACCATAAGATCAAACCATCATGGCCACCATCGTGGCACTCGATACCATCCACATACAGAATCATTGTTGGTGAGCTGTGGCTGATTTTGAAACGTTCAATTTCAAAGCAGACTGTTTCCCTGCTTGTAGAATTCCATCCTGATACCTCCCTTTCTCTCACAGTTTGTCCACGCCGCCAGGCAGCAAGGTGAAACTGACTGGTGCAGTGGCCTGCAATCATGGCTTTTTACTCCTCACCACCAGCAACTGTGCCTTCCTGGGTGGTTACGTCAAAGAACTGGTAGAGAGGTGGGAACTGGCAAAGGTAAGTCAGTCCGTCCACCCATCTGTTTGTCTGTCTGTGGTCCGTACAAGTCTATCTTTGTTTGGCTTTAAGAGGAAAAAAGATTTTCACAAGTTTTGAAGTCAGGAATGTGCTCATTTTCCTCGTCTTTTTTGCCATTATTCTCACATTTTAAAACACTGCCTTTCAGAGTTTGTACCACCACACGAGAACAGCAGCTGGCGGGTCCAGCGGCCCACCCCCCTGGGTTCCATTTGGACAAAGAAATAAACAAAGAGAGGCTGGCCAGAAGGCTACAAAAGTCAGTAAGTCACACGCAGTGTTTGACAATTTCTTTATTTAGTTATTTTTCTGTGGTTCAATAAATAACGGGCCTACAGAGAGAACCACTCCTTGATGACTGATAGAGCTTGCCCAGGTTAAACAAAACAAAATGAAGACCTCCAAAGTCATAATGGTTTACTTCCAATGCATACCTGTGGCGCTGGTTCTTGACGTCTACCAGCTGTTGAGTTGGATGAAGGTTTTATTGAAATGACTGAAGTGTGACATAAATGTGACATCTGTAACAGTTTGGGTTAGAATAAGAACAAAAAAGGAATTGAAGTGCAGCTCGTAAGTATTATTCTGTGTTCCAAATTTCTAGAAAGAATCTTTGGATTAGGTCAGATGGGAGACCTGAGATTCTGTTACATGGTAAACTAAAAAGTTCTAAGAAAAATTACAACAAAATGCAAACCCACTCATTATACTCTTTGATATCTTTTATGATAACATGTTGTAACATATAGTACATTTCAATATCAAAGGACTCTGACAACGTTTTTCTTACAGTGCCTCTTTTTCACTGCCGAGCAAAATTTCAGAAATACTATGTTGGTCAACAACAATAAACCTCCCTGCCCTCACAGGTACCCATTTGTATTCAGTGAGCGGCAAAGGAGGGTAAAGTGGCTTGACCGAGATTCAAATGTGTGCCACGACGAGGGATTTGAACGCAGACCCTTTGATCGGGAAATTCAGACCATTTCATTGTATAAGAATGTAATCAATGTCCTACGAGAGACTCATTGGGAATCTTGGGTTGTAATGTAGCAATGAAGAAATCCCTGGAGGATCCCAAGGCCAAGGAGCAGACGGACCAGGACAAAGAATTTGCCGAGCAGCGCAAGGCAGCCATCCAGGAGGTCAACAAGAGCAAGCCGGGCCTGGGTAAGACCTTTGGGGGCACCAAGGCGCCCGCGGCTGCCCTGCAGGTCAAGGAGGGGAGGGAGACAGGCAGGAGAGGCCGAGACAGCTTGAGGAATGTGAGGAGAGGGGAGCAAGGTGATGACCAGCCAGCCACTGGGAAAACCCGGTTAGATGGGATCTACCGCGACCTGGATTATGGGGTGAGATCAGGACATCGGAATCACGCTTTTGTGCTGGTCATAATCTGTAACTGATTTGGTTTTCTTGCGCTAGTTTCTTGAGTAGCTATGACCTTTTCATCTCAAAAGTTTGAAGGCTTATGAAAGTTTCAACAACATTGCTTACACCAGTCTTGAACACCTGCTGTTTGTTAATTACCACGTTCCCAAAGGGAAGTTTTCCCTTCCCTGCCCCACAATGTCTTGTCTACACCATGACTAATCTTTTGGAAACTTATCGTGCATCTAAAGACATCAATTAAAAGTACAGCTTTGAATTAAGTGCCACATAATGGTCACTTGTTGTTCACACTGTCGCCCATGTCTGCCCATACATTGAGCTTATGTCAGCGATAAAAATGGCCCACCAGTCTTTGAAATGTGACATTTTGTTTGAACAGTAAGACCTACATGTATTGTCATGGGAGATGTGTCAGAAAGACTGCCAGATGTCAACAAAAAAACCTCTGAAGGCTTGGCATGATTTTGACAGCATCAGAGAAAATGTATGCCCTTTCCCTGGATTTTGTAATGGTTGAGAAATGTTGACTCTGGTACCGTTACATTCTGAATTGTTTTCAGGGTTACCAGCCTGCCGAGAAGGATATTCAGCAACTCGTGAGCATGGGCTTCCGGCGAGACGCTGCGTCAAACGCTCTCAGGAAACATATGGGCAATGCCGACGCAGCAGTCGAGATGCTGCTGAAGGAGCCTGGCCCATCAGAGCCACAATCACAGAAGTTTGGCAGACAAAGGCCAGACACTAGGCCAGGTGTGTAACAAGCACAAGCCCTCTCTTCCCTGATGACATCATGCCATTCTTTCATGAGTCGTTTACTCTGCATTATGAGGTGATAAAGACTTTGTTCTCTATTAATTTGGATGGCAATGTCCCCAAAACACTAAACTAAAACAAGCAGGAAAAGAGTCAAGAACATACAGAAACATACATGAACAATGGCAACATAGTTCAGTAGATCTTTTTTACAGCATTCCTCAACATAACACTACTCTGTGTGTAAAGCTGTCTTTTTTGCATCCATGACTGTCCATCATTAAATATGTACATGCACATTTGGCTCACCAAATTGAAACTTCTGTTTTCAGTATTAATGATAAGCAAAATTGTTACGTTTTTAATGACGTGCATGTAAAATGTGAGATGAATGCAAATACATTGTATCGCATGCATGTTGCTGATGTAGCGTAGCTCATGTTTGTCCACAGTGTGCACGCTTTGATAAAGTTCTGTGTAGATATACTGCTCAGAGTAAGTGAGGCCCCTCCTTGAGCACTGTAACGGAAAGCTACAGTAAAAAATTGTTGAACAGCCAACTTTACATTTTGAGTATACCATTTCTGCTGATGTCCACTTTTATATCATACAGTTCAGGTGCATTTGTAAGAGCATACAAACTACGGTCGCAAAGCCTCAGCTACAGAGTCATAATTCACAGCTTGATTACTTATTACAGCCACAAACACCTCATTCTTAGCAGGTGGATCAGATTTGTCAATGTGCCTGGTCCAGGGTCTGTAGTCAGTCCACCGAAGATACGCTTCACGGGCTACTTTTTCCCCGTTTCACCAACCTGTTGTATGGCGGTTGTGCTTTCAGATCGTAGCCGTGGCAGTGGCCGGAGGGGCAGATGGGGTGACGATGAGGAGGAGGGGAGCGCCCCACCCACGGGTCCCGCTACTCTCTTTGACTTCCTCCAACCTAAACTAGGAAAAGGTACCAAAACCATTCCCTCTGCATGCTTGGAACTCTAAACGTTATCTTTAATATTGAAGATGCTTCAAGTTTCATTCCTGGATGAAGTTGGAGACTATCGACATCTTTGTGTTGTTATTTCCTGATGTGAGCAGGATTGTCAGATACAAGCTGCGGCCGTGTAGATGTGGGATTAGATTAATCCATGAGCCACAGTTTGTAAAAGTCTTGTACATAGTCAGGGACCATGTTTACTGCCAAGCACCAGCAAGTTAATTGACTTGAGAAAAGTATTTGGCCAAGGACTTTTGAAGAACACATACTTTTGTCCTAAAATCTTCAGTTTATGCCACTGTGGCAGTCTGAAGTCATGCCTATTTGGTAATCTTACCTTTGTTCTTTCACCATCCAATGTACATATTCTTCAACAGTTTTCACACCTGTATGTAACCAGTTCGATATTTGGCTGTAAAGTTGGTAGGCAAAAAGTTCTTGACTACAACACTGGACTTCGCATCAATGGTTGCAAATATTGCTGGCAGATGATAGCAGATGATGATAGTTCCATGCTCCTTCTTTGGTGCTTGTCTTCTTGCAGTTTATGTCTTTTTCCATAGCTTTTACAATTAAGCTCAATTAGTATCTTCCTGATCGGCTGAAGTATGTTCAAATGAATATTGATTTCTTCTGTCATGGCACCGTCATGTATTATCGTCAGTAATCCGAATGAAAAACAAAATTGTATGAGACTTGAAATGAGCGTACTTCATGCATTGTGGTATAACGAGCACCACTGTGCCTCACTCAGTTGGTGACAGCTCTTATTCACACTTCACTTTCACAGATAATGAGACAGGTTCCCAGTCCACAGGCCAAGCATCCAGGAAGGATCTGGGAAGGTTCCGCGATTTTTCTGATGAACAGCCCAGCTCCGTCACGGAAGCAGGGATAAGTTTTGTCCACGAGGGAAGAAGATCAAACTACAAGCAGGTGGAATGTCAGGAGGGTATGCATCATTAAGTTGAAGTTTACATTCCAGAGGAACACAGGAAACACTGGTGACTTTCTAGCTAGATCAGGTGGTGTCAAGCTGTTTGCCAATCTTTCAAACTTTTGCTGTTGACTTATGTCTGATGTTACATTATTCAAAAGGAATTCTATTTTTTCTCTGTTTTTCAGGCAAATAGAGGGAAAGAAATTATTTCCTCTGTTAACCTCAACTGAAAACGGAATGTTTTATTTTCCATGTAACACAGAAAAGGCCCCTTACATTGTACTGTTGGCGACTGATGGAGTTGCCGTTGCTGTGCCTGCAAATAAAATTATATGCATTTCATTTCTGCCTCATTAATTTCCAAACCAGTAATACGCTTTGTACAATTTTACACCCTAGCCTGCAATAAAGGACAGCAGAATTTGTCTTTCTTAATTCTTGCAGGAGGACATCAAAAAGACAATAACATGGAGAGGGGTAGAAGGAGTTATCAAGAGAAGTCAAGCTCTGGAAGGACTGATGCTAACCCAGCTAGAAAGGATGGTAGAGGCAGGAATCCAGACCGTAACTATGGCAACAAAGAAAACAGCAGCTTCAGAGACAGAAACTCTGCCCAAGACAGGCATGGTGACAACAGACAGGGTGACAGTTACCAGCAGAGAAGGAACAACACAAGAGGGGATGGTCACCAGTACAATGAGAGCAGGGGAAACTATCACAGTTCAAGAAACCAGCAGGATAACATGAGCCGGGGTCAGGACAGACCAGAGAGGAACGCGAGCTTTAGGTCTAGAGATTTTCAAGACAACCGACCTCCACGATTTCAGAAGCAGAAGAATGCGCAGCTCTCACAGGTTGACAGGCAGCCCAGTAACAGGTATCCCAATTACCAGGGAGTCGGGAACCAGTCACAACCTGCGGAAACCTTGAGCAGCAACTCTGTCTTCAGTGGGTCACAAACGCAGCAAAGACCCAACCTGAACCCGGGAGATTCCTGCCAGGCCAAGTACTGGGAAGACAATCGGGTAAGAAACGTTCTTTTGTGCAGAGACTCAGGCCAGTGAGACCCATCATAATCACAACATGGTCAGAATGTCATTGAGTCAAATCAAGCTGCAGGCCATGCATATAATTCATGTAGATATTGTGCCCGTAGGCAAGATCACCCCCCCCTCCTACTTGCCTCTAGTCCAGCTGGAGAATAAATGGGTGCCAACAAACTAGAAATGTATGGGAGAAGAATACAGTATTTTTCTCATCCCAGTGAAACGTGGGAAGAAGGTCATCATCTTTATACAGTTCTCTATAACTTGATTTTCCTGCAGTCTGTAATAATAATAATACTAATAATAACAAGCACTTGTAAAGCGCCCTCTATCTAGCAAACTATTCCGAGGCACAGTATTATCATTATGCTTGCACGTTGGGCTCAGGCATCATCTGAACATTCCGGAAACCATCTCGGCTCCCTAAGGAGTATACTGGCCCGGTGCTGCCATTTCGGCGCAAACAGCTAAACATAACTTAGTCTGCCCTCACAGGTACCCATTTACTCCTGGATGGAGTGGGGCACACAGGGGTAAAGTGACTTGCCCAAGATCACAAAATGCTGCCGCCAGCTGGATTCGAACCCCTGACCCTATCATCAGAAGCTACAAACCCTAACCACTAGGCCACATGGCTCCCTCGCGGATATGGAGTTAAACAAGACAGCATTAAATTTGAATCAACCTGAAAGCCTTTTACTTTGTAGATCTGCTTTAATCCCCTTGTCTCATGCATAATTATAATTCTGGTAGAGCACCTTCATGGTGAAACATCTTAACTGCTCTGAAGGATTTGTAGGAAATCTTTTGTTACTAAATGCATTTTTTTTCTTCAGTTTTACGATGCAGTTGTGACTGCCATTCACCCCAGTGGAAAGACGTGCGTTGTTGTATTTTCTGAGTATGGCAACCACGAAGAGGTCAAAATGACTGACGTCCGACCATTGCCCTCAGGGGAATGGGTAAGACAAACGGGGATTGAACTCTGCTTCAGTAGAGTTGATATACAGGCTCCAAATAGTACCATATAGAGACAGCACTGATAGACTAGGGGAGTGGCGACAAGTTTAACAGTTCTGGCAATCCTAACCAATTTAGTCAGTACTGTGGTCAGAAATCCATCAACCGTAACCAATTTGAACCGAGATTACATTAATCACGTGAATTGGAAAGAGTTGGAAAAATTGAGCTGTGTCAATACTAACAGAGACTTAACAGGCATTGAAAATGCACACGCTTGTCAAAGTGTGGTCTGTTGATTTTTACCCAACGGTACTGCAGGAAAACAGTCTGACCAACATTAGAAGATATTCCAATTACTGATGGGTGAAATGGACTGGTATGGGGATAAGAAATCCCCTCACCTTAACAACTCTTTGTGAGAAACAGTAGAGTTGATACTTTTGAAAGTACCAATTTTCAAAGCAATTTCAATGCACATTGTTCACTGACTGTCAGTGTATGACAGTGTAATTCCTGGTTTTTTTTTCAGAGGAGCCCTTCCCCGGGCCCACCTGTCCCTTCCCTCCTGATGTCCGGCAAAGGGGGAACGTTTGAAGGCTCCACGACCACGCATCTAGAGTTCCGTCAAGGAGGGGAAGGGACTGTCTACACCAGGCCGAGACAGCAGCGGGAGCCACGCAGGAATGTCCGACCCGCCCAAAGCCTCTACGAGCCTCCCAGCTCACGGAAATGATGTCTGTGCGGTAGGCTATTTGCTAAGATGATGAAGCACATTGCTTCAAGACAGTTTGAAGTTAACCACTTGTAGCTACATGTACAAAGTATGATCAGAAGGTCAGAGGTTGCAGCTGTTGGCCACATGCTGCAGCCTTGGGCAAGCCACTTCACCCTCACTTATTTCTCTCCACCCAGGAGTATCAGTGGATATCCTGCGTTAGCAGGCGAGCAGCGTCCAATGGACTGGCATCCCATTCCTAGAGGGAATGGCAACATGTCCAGTCTCTTCATGCCACTCAAACATAGGAAAAAAATGCTGGCCTGATAAACTCTGCTGGCTCACGATGGACTTTGCATGCACTTGTTAGATCCAAAGTATCCAACTTCCCTCGTTTCCCCTTTCAACCCTAACCCCTAGGTAGTAGACGGATCATGAGTTTAATTTTGCAGATGGCCCTTTTGGAATGGTAACACCCTTTCCCCCCTTCCAAATTATTTATGAACACTCTGCCAAAGGAAGGAGCTTATTTTGCCGGAACTACGGTTGTGACTTCTTTTTGAAAAATATTTTTTCATTTGAACAGTAAAATTGACGTAACTTTTTATCTGTCACTCGGAACTATCCACCTGATCTCAAGGGTGGTAATCGGTAATCCCTAGCTCCATTTTCTCCATTGCTCCACATGTTAACTCTGTAGAAAAGTCCTTTCACCTTGTTTTGATTCAAGATGGAGGATTCGAGAATAAGCCCCGACAAATGCCTGCATGGATAATGACACGTGTGCCTCTTCAGTGGCAAATTGTATTCTCCGAATGCAGGCATCCTAGGTAGATGTATGCAAGTCCTCATAGTCCGATTTCTCTGTGGGACATTTTGATAGTGTAGTCGTGACTTGGAGCAGTCAGGACATCATGCGGCAGATCTTACTTAATGTCTTAAGACAAATAGTGCATTCTTTTTACTTAAAAGAAATGGAGACACCGAGCCCTTATACAATAGAGGGTGGACTGCCCACTCCAAAATCTGCAAAAATACGTCAAAATAACAGACTTTTTGGACAGATTTAGGGATGTAAAAGTCGGGCGCGCTGTGAAGTGTATCCAAGAAATTTTCATGACTTGTAACTTTTCTATTAGTGCAACCTCATTAGCATTTTCATTGTTGACTAATATTTATCTACTTACTTGGTAAATTGCAGTTTGCATGTGCTATCCAGCAAGTGCCTTTAGTTTTTGACCTTTCCCAAGGCTAATAATACTTTGAATACTTTCCTCGGAGAACGATGTGAAGTTGTTTTGTCTCTTTTGTGTACGTTGTAAGTCCCCCAAAATAATGCAAGCAAATACTGTGTGTATTAAACACAAAATGCCAACTAGCAGTATCCGCCCCGAGTAGAAGTGCACCCCCAGGCGGCAAAAGAAAGACAGATGGTTGTAAGTTTTCCAAGTGGGTTCTTGCACATGTTCTGCGCGTACGCAATGACCGTACATTAAATTTCATTTCTTAATTTTCATCTTATTTACTTTTGGTGATCCAGAGACATGCCTCAGTGAACGTAAGCGACCAAAATTAAGGCTTTGCCACCTTGTAGCCTGATCACTCATTGCACTTGACCTTTACAGTTGGATTTCTCATAAGTTACCTGTATCACAATGATTACTGTCGTTGAAGGGGTAACTGCAGATGACTAGTGAGTGTGTCTACTGTCACCAGATTCAATGATAGGAGGGGAACATTGCAGAAAGGAAAAATGCACCTGTTTTGATTTCTAATAGATTTTTATACATTTTTTGTGTTCTGGAGGATTTATTCAACACGGGAACAACTTTTTACATAAATTTATCTACTACCCAACTACGTGATTATCATCCAAACTAACAATAGAAATACAATGAAAAAAGGCATCAAAAATCTTAAAATACACACACACATGGTACATTTTGGCTCAGCTTAAAGGACATGATGTTCACATGTGTAGACACAATTTTGTACAGACATCTACGGGTATCTGTTAAAAATTGTCATTCTAATGAAAAATGGTGTGGAGATGAAAAATGGTGTACACTCTCCAAACAGCTGCAGAGAGTCATTTCTGGAATTTATTTGGAAATTGTAATCGTTTAAAATAAACACTCTGTAAAAAAAAATCACTGAAATACATACCTTTTCCCAGAGTGTTTTGTTACCTTGAAGCAAAAAATTCCAGCTTTTTTCTGTCACAGCTCTTAATGTATTTACATTTAATGTGCTATAAAAATAAATACATGTACACATTTCCATCAGAGCAATTCCAAAATGAAAACATTGACAGAGGGCAAAACTAATCACATGTATGCACGATCTTCTCATATTTACTACTAATGTATGCCTTTCATGAAGGCACATACATGTACACATCCACATTACTACAGTGAACTGTTTTCACAAATATTCATTATTAATTCTTGTCTGAAAACTTTCTATTCAAGTACCTAAGGAATCCATATCGGAGAATGTCTTTAATCAAGGAGTCAGACCCATGACAGAACTGTAGGCACGTCCCTGGGCAGACCTGGGTCAGTCCCAAAATCTGATGCCATACAAAACTGAACCCGAGATGTTCATTCAAGATAATCTCATTTTAGTAATAATTTTGCAATTCCAGTAAGTCCCACTAACACCACCAGAGTAAAAATCAGTTACCCATAAAATAATCACAAAAATAACTAACATGTAAATCACTTAAGTCACCTGTTGTGCAGGTCTGAATGAACGTTAATGAGAAAGTCGTCGTCGTCAAACCTTTTTGTGACCCTGCCTAAAAAGGAGTGTCCTGTTATTCCTACATATTGTTGCAACTAATAAGTTCTGAAGTAGTACTTGGTATGAACTTATTGAGAACAGATTTGTGACCCTCTAGCATATGAATGAGTTGACCCTTCACACTTTCGTTGTCAGTTGGTCATCCATCTTTTTAAACTTTCTGTCAGAATGGGGGAACAGCAAACTTTCTTTATACGATTTCTGATTGGGTCAGGTATTAATTGCTGTTATATGTGCTTTCAGAATGGAAAGCACTGTTGGAGAACAACCAGAATGACATCGTCACTACGCCCCGAGGGCGACTCGCCTGTTAAATAAAGTGCTCGTGCAATCCACGAAACGTCCTACAACGATGTCAATTTTTTTTGTTCTCAAACAATGCCTGCCTTCAGAATATCTGGTAAAATGTGATCCCCCCGGACTAGTCATGAAATCAAGTTGTTAGTCAGTTGTGTTTGTCATCCAGAACAACCGATATGAGCCAGCATACTGCGTTGTTTTACAATTCATGCTGGGCCTGTTCACCGTTGCTCGTGATTCAGCTTTCCGCACTCATGATCTGGCCCGGATACGATGCGTGGCCATTGTGGAGCGTGGTTGCACTGACCGTTCCCCCACGTTATTAAACTGCACGCCGAACCGCACCGGTACATACGCATCGCGAGGAAGGTGGACTACACCAGGCCAGTTACCGACTTGATTTCAAGTCTACCCCAGGACCAGCTTTTGAAAGCACAGTGTGGAAACATCTGTCATAGATGGAGAAAGTGGACACTTAGAATACTATTGGTCTACTTTGGCTTTTAGTTTCTTTAAGTAATCATCAATATCTGTTGGTCATGTTTGTACTGAACACACTTCCTGATGGACATGACGGGGGCTTTGTGTGCTGGGTTCAGCTTAGCTCCTCAAAGAGATTGTCTGGTAGGGCGTCCGGGCAGAGGTAGTTGGCTAGCGCCATCTCGTCGTTGATGAAAACAACCTTCTGTGCTGTAATGTCACTCAACCTGCCGTGGAAGAAGTTGACAGGATTGAAGAAAGTGAGGAGACAACATTAATTGCAGTGGCACCACAATCAAGCGAGCATTCAAAAACTGCGAGGTGCATATGCATATTGGCAGGCCACAACACCCTACTGGTTGGAGTAGTCCCACAGCTTGCACAGTCATGTTCCACCCACGTGCACACCCATTACGACTGTACTAACTGCACGTAATTCTGGTTCTCTCCAGACTGATAGGCCTAAGTAATTTACACCTCCACCAGTTTACGCTTTCACCTTGCAAAGCTGCAAATCGTATTAATTTTAACCAACTCAATTTATTAAGCACTGTGAGTGTACAGTTCTGCCTGAGAGCTTGTGGGAAGATACATGTAGTTACAAGCTGTCTTGGATTGGACTCATGCGGTGCATACATCTTAAACACTTCACCCCTGAGCTGGCCGAGCTCAGCTGGTCTAGCTCAGCTGGCTTTTGTTCGTTTTAAGCGATAAGATCAGAATAGACATGGACTGGTGAGAGCACTTACATGGGTCGTATGACAGCCCAGCATCCCTGGAAGACCATAGGGGCATTGACGACCAGGCACACTCCTAACCGCTCTGGGTATCTAGTGGATAGCAGCCAGATCAGGGTTTTGACAAAGTCGTAGTCCATACTGGCCATGCTGAACTTACGCATGTCAAACAGTACACAAACGTTGTCAATAACATCTTCATTGCACTTCTTGCATGCTGATTCCTTTGAGGGTAGAAATTACACATGTGCATGTACAGGTAAGAAGACGTGTGGTTAAATGTAATAAGCTCATTTGACCTGACCAGTACATGCACAACAAATACCAATCAGGAAATTAGACAAGTTACATGTAGTGCAATTCCATGAGTGACAAACAGTACATGTATGTGCGAGTTTTGTTTAAAAACAGTTGAAAACTGCACAAATGACGCCTAAAGAGGAGTGCACTACGACTTGGCAATCAAACTTACATCTGGGCCCTCAACTTGTGATAAAACAGCAAAAACTAACTTTAATTTCAGTCGCTGTGAATCAAGAGTGTCAGTGGAACGTAGTACATACTCATTTTCTACTGAAATATTTGTTTTAAGTATTGCCATTTTTCTACATAAATGAGAAATGTTTGTACTCCCAAAATTGGAAGGTAATTTTTTGAACCAGCATGGTTTTTGTGGTCGTTGTCAATTGTGTCAGCTAAATCTCCTGTCTCGGCAATCTCAGCATACATGACGTACATGACACAACACCTGTATCTATGCTCCACTGAAACTCTTGCTCGGCTGTTAATATTTTACTTACCAGAATGTATACCATGCATTTTGTCAAGGCTTCTTTGTTCTTTTCTGCCACTTTGTGATGTCTTACCCGTAGCAAAATCATTGGTCTGTTGCATAAAGACGGATAGGTTAGAATGTAGCACAACTGACCTAAATAAGAGTTGATCCAGACATCTTTACCGCAGTGCAAAACACTTGCTTCAAGGTTCCACATTAATGAGTGGTTAACTGGCAAGTTTTTGCTTCTTAAGTTGTTTGGAGAAATTAAAGTTTTGAAATAAGATAGAACCCTGGTGGGTAAAGCTATCAATCTTTCCTTAATGATTCAAAATGGTTTATGCAATAACCCTTCAAATATACCCACAACCAAATACAGTCAAAACTCGATCACAAGAGGCTGTTACCACAGGATCCGCGTATAACTAGGAAATTTGTAGTTCCCAATCATTTGTTTTCCATTGTTTGCATTCCAGATAAGAAACGGTAGGTAATTTGCCAAGTCTGAAGGACCTGTTATTGACGGCGTAAGAGTGTACTTGCCTTATAGTAACCACCAAATATACACTTCTCAAAAAAAGTTAAGGAATACTTTATATTTTGTGTGTACTTTTTTATATGAGATATTTTACTGTTGAATGGATACTGCATCATTGCACATTTTTAATTTTTTCCATTCCAATGTGAACACTGTCAAGAACAAACAAGTAGTGAAGGAACTAGACCTCACTCATCGATCATTGCTTGGAAAAAAAATTACAAGTTAAGAAAGAAGTGGTCCTTAACTCTTTTTGAGTAGTATATATGTATTAGCCACAATGCCGACTCGGAAAGAAAAATCCAATGAATAACTTTCGAAGAGTTTTTGTTGGCAGCAAAAAAGTTCTGACAAGCTCTGACAATATTTTAATCAAATCTTTAGGATGGAAAACAAGCAACTGTAGACTTTATCATTAACTCATTTAGTTCTATTATTTAAAGGAAAAGTGAAATAATTTTAAGCGACATATTTTGTTTAATTCTTCAGTTTTGGTTCTTGCGGAACACTGAACTGCTCAAGTGAATTTGTTGTACATTGAAAGTATCCTTTAACGAACTTGCTCTCCATTCCACGTAAAGCCCGAATTCATATGCAGTTGTAAGTAGAAAATATTAGTAGGCCTACAATCATGCGCTAAGCAAGCATCAGCTTAGAACAATCACAAGAGATACGCACTTTGGCTGGTATAACCTGTTTCTTTGCTAAGCAAATATTTTGTTTGCTCAGTAAATTTCTGTGCCAAGCAGCAATCAGCTGAGAACCACTCACAAGAAATGTATAACACATAAGCACATATTTTCTCTGCTTGAAAAAGATTTTTGCTTGTGGAAATACGCGTTCTGAGAACATGCATAGCCCACCTTCCATGCCGGTCGCGGTGCCGAAGTAGCTCCACTTTTCTGGTGCTGAGCTCAGCATCAACTTCCGGACAAGACGTAGGGTTGATTGTTTCAACTCCGTAGTCTTTCCTCCATTGGTTACACTTTAAGATGGCCCCGAAGGAGTCATCTACATTCTTAAACGCTTTCAGGAATCGAATAATGCTGGGCTCCGTTAAGTACTGGAAGCAATTTTTTCCCCAAAATGTAAGCATTCGAATTCAGATTCAAGCGAATACATGTATACAAATGTCATTGTTGTCTTCAGTTTGATATCTCTTTTAAACAGGATAATTCCACCAAATGTACAATTGATATTTAAGTAATAAAAAACACGAAACTTTCATCAGATGTAATAGATTTTTATGAAATTAATGAATATGATACTTTGCAGTGAACTGTATAAAACAGAATAGGTAGAGTTGTTAATGAATATTCAACACTGCTACTGAATATTGAAAGCACTAACCTGCGATGGATCTGCGTTGAAGATAATCTGAAAATTAAAGATAAAAAAGGGACTGAACTTTTGAAACCATTAAAGTGCCATGTCCAGTTTGAGTATCGTTCATTTTATTGCGGCATCATGCGTAGGCCAATTTCCTCAAATCTTTAGTCTCCTTGCCAGCCGTCTTTGGCACTTTCTTTCTGCCCTTGGCAGAGTTGGGTGAGAACCTCTCCATTGCGTATTTGCTGCCTTATAGAGGGCACAATATCATCTGAAACACGATATTTAAGAAAGTGCTTTCTTTTGTGAGGTAATTTTTTTATATTTATTTGAGAACTTGCCTGTGAATTCTGACTACAGTTAACGACATGCCCTGCGTTTCGTATCACGTGAAGACAGATCAAAAATGAAAGAATGACAAGATAACGGAGTATGATCTCTGCCTTGATAATGAATTTCTCCTCGCTTGCCATTATTTCGGAATACTTCAAACGCTGCTTGCATTTTTTATGCATGTTATATCTGGAGATGCGTTGGCACACAAATCCAACTGCGCTACATATGTAGCTTCGCCTCCTGAAATCATAGACGTGCCTCGCTTTGAATGCTTTAAGTTTTAAGTAATCATTTAGTATGGTTGTGATTTTCCATTGAACGTATCTTTTGAAACTTCCATTAATTTAAGTAGCATTTAGTGAGATCGTAAACAGTTTGATCACGGGTACGAGGAATTTTTACGACGGTACATATCTAACTTTAGGCCTATAAGCTTTACCGAAATCTCACGGAACGTAAAAAAGATGCGGTTGGCTTTCTCATAGTTCAAAGAAACAGCTATATATGGTTGGTCGAAAAATAATTGAAAAGTTGAAATGTGAATTGCATACTCGTGCTATTCGTGGCCGATTTTTTTACACTGTTATACAGTGTCATTTTGTATTGCCCGACAGCCGCGTATCCAGGGTTTTGTTTGCCCGTAGCGAAATAGAATTTGCCTTCCGGTCAGGTTAAATCACACAATCAGACCAAGAAGACAATGGTAAAGTGAGAACCGACGTGGGAATATAATCCAACACGTTCAATGCGTTCATCATCTATTTCCACAGTCCCAATAATGTTCCTTTTAACATCCCGATTCGGTTCTGAGAATTCCAATTACATTCTACGGCTCAGCATCCTTTGGCTTTGCTGCTGCGCTGTTTCATCGTAAAGTATCGATAATCAGAATGATCATATCTCAGATCAGTACACGTATAACAATTTACATTCCTACCACGTTTTACAGATCCTCGTATGGATGCATAATATTATGTGCCCTTCGAGGTTATTATCAGCTTTACTGTTTTAAGTTGGCTTATATTAATAGTCTCTCCATAAAATTTAACGAGGACAGGCCTACAAATACGAGCACAATCATCAAGGCGGAAACCGAATGCATCAATGTGCACTCACACTATCGCAATAACGAATAATATTTTACTAACGAAGAGGGCAAGTACTGTCAGATACCTGACTTTGATGTTTCAAGTACATGTACAAAGATCAACGATCTAGCCTACTTCAAAACGTTTGCTGAATTGCATGGAGAGTTATACTTGCTGAACAGTTTCCTGTCATAATGGCAGAGAAATAACTACTTGGAGTCTTTAAGTATTCTTGGGGCATTCGGGAAAGATTTTTAAAAATTATTTTACTCATAGGAAAAGAGCGCTTGTGGTAATAATGTAAGTAGAATATTCATGGAGCAAAATAACAGAAAGCATTAATCTACTACATTTTCATGACTTATTGGTTAACAACTTCCAAAAATACAGTGTTTAATAGTTGTAATGTTATATTCGAGGCTTTTTCAAGATACCCAATCAAAAACCCACACAGATAACTCTACATCCACCCATTAAAACCAAGAAACTAACCTAGTCTGCAATTGGCCATGCATTGTGTGCTTAATCAACCTACCAGCAACTGCAATGTGATATTACAAAGTGAAACGTTTCGTACTCAAATTAATGACATATACATGAAGAAGTGCATGGTTTAAGATTACATCGTTATACTCCGAAACTAGCATTTAGGTGACATCGAATATCAAAACAAATTATCATGTTACTCACCTCACAACGTTCCTTCAATTTCATTAGCTCATTTGGGTCGTACTCTATCGGATTTCCCATCCTTAATATTTCATATACGATAACTTCGTTTGTTATAATAGTTATTATATATTGAATGGAGAATAAACGCACTTGACAGGGGAGCTATCGCGTTGAGTTTAACCTTGTTGAAATGAAACATATGGCCAGTTTAGCTCGTGAGTAAAACATGGCCGCCTTCTTAGCGGATGCGATGTTGATGGATGTTGCGACTTCTTGAGTTCGATGGTGATGCTGTCAAGGCAATCCACACTACAACGCCTAAAACGCCTCAAATATATCTCGTTTCCAAACGGTTTGCCCCCTGTTCAGTTGACGAGGAAAGCCTCAAACAAATCCGATTCTGTGAGTACTTTTCATCGTCTTGATGGCCGTGAGGATGACGGGGTCGATCTTAATCACTGGAGATGAAATTGGAAAAACATAAAAGACAGCTTGTAAATGTAATGACGATGATGTATGCGATTCTACACTGACCACGCGCATACGCACACGGCGCCGTGCGTTGTGTGATTGCTCTATCCCTAGATCATGTTCATGTATTATGCGTAGGTTTTCCCGACTCAGCCTGCCAAGCTGAGCAGAGTGTCATCGTAGGCCTACGTTGCACCGACGCCTCGCGACATTTCAGCCGAGTGCACCTTATCTTACTGATATGCATAATTAATTGGGAAGCATGAAGGTCTAAAATTGGGTGATAATACCGATGAACTGCATAGATATTTCGTGCGTGACATTGTCCAGCATCTACTTTTTGGATGATTCCTCTGCAGGGCCTTTGCGTATGAACCATTTCGTTTTCTGTTGGCGAATTTCTCCCCGGAAAAAAATTAATGTCAAATATTTGAATGTTGGAGTTCTTCATTGTATTTCGTTGATATGTGGATTCAGATCTTTCCGGAGAAACCAGTTCTTGCAACATAAAATGTTTGAACGTGTTCATGAAATGAAGTAGCTCCTCAATGGTTTTAGGAGTATGAAGAAAGGACATGAAATAGCGTATCTGAATCCGTCATATACCTGAAAATAAACGTCTAAAGCCAGAACTGTAATTACAACAGCGACATGGACAGAAATCGAAGCAAAATAAAACCATTATCATATTAAATTTGTACTTACATGCCATTCCGTGTTAGAGAAATTAGAAATACATGTAACGACATAGATGGTATGGTGTGCTGATCAGCGGAAGTGTACCGTATAATGTTTGCTTATCATTAACGGTCTGCATAATTAACCCCAAACGAATGCGTGCACGCTGGCACAGAATGCGTTACATGCATGATTGCCATTTCAGATATATTTGCACATGTTCGTCGTGCATAGCTGTTGGCTGTTCAATTAATCAAGTGTATTATGCTAATGATATTGATGTCAATCCTTTAGGCGAATGGATTATTTCGTTGTTCAGTTTCAATGACATTTATTTCCAAAGCTTAAAAAGAACAACTCGAAAACAACTGGTAAGAAAAGATGATAAATCGAAAGATTTTAAACAAGTCGAGGCTCTTAATGTGGCATACCTTATACATTCAAAGGGTTTCAGATAAGTATGCGTTTTCAATTCAACAATTGTTAAGACTGAATTTATAGAAAATTGTCGTGACAACGTTCATAAAGACACACCATTAGTCCAATTAATGATTTTTTTCTATGCAACATGCATGCAGTCATACACGGACGTACGTTTGAAATTGTTTGTATACAACCGAGAAATGGCAAAGATCTATGTAACAGGCTGAGTAGGCATATTACAAAACAAACTGAAGGACTTGCATTTGATATATCAGCTAACAGTCGAAGATTCCATTCTAATGTACACATGCGCTCTAGCCTACTAATAAATCTACACCACGATACTTTGCAGAAGCGTGCATGTGCAACTACTGCGAATTGCGTAAATGTTTGAGAATTATATAGTACGTTAAATACATAGAAATATTAAATGATACTTTATAATGCATAGAATGCTACGATAAATTCGCCTACCTGTACTGAAATCACCTTCGTTCTGTACTGGTAAACTGTTGCCAAAGATAGCTAGGGCTAATGGAAACCGAAGCGGCAGTCATGAAAGCCTGCTACGCCTACGTGTACAGCACTAGTGACCTACACAGGTCATGCTGTGCTGTTGGATGAACATTGACAATACAGGTGGTTAAAAAGGATATATAGTGTGCGCGCATATGGGCAACAATATTGTATTGATTCAATAATAGTGGCCTTCGCTATATTGATTGCGAGTTTGTGGGTTGCACACCATTGCACATTATACTCTGCAGTACACATGCTATCAGGCCCAACCCATGTGTATTCTACACTTGAAACTAGTTTATTGACGTCGTTATCTCGTGCCCATGTTATGGGCTAGGGAGGTAGAAGTGCTGCATTCGGTAGATAGCGTTGGCAAAGCAATGAATACTAGTTTTGCTATAAAAACGGCAAAAAGTGGCGAGCACAGAAATTAGTTTCTCAGCATAAAAAGGTGCCCATGCAGCGGTGTTGTGTGTCTGCCAGTGCATGGTTTCCAGCTGCTGTATGCTCGCTGTTCTGCCAAACAGCTCAAAAAAATTGGGGGGGGGCGGGGCTAAGCTCGAGGAAGGCAAGTTGACTCAACCGATAACAAATATCCTTTAAGTGACAATGAGTAAATGAGTTGCTCTTTACACGTAAAGGTAAAAATAATTGCGTGAGCTGCAAATTGAAAAGTAACATTTCTCAAAAGCAAACTTATTAAATCACACCTACAGGAGTGACGAACATGTGGCCACTGGTACAATTAAAAACGCTCGTTGGCCAGTGCCACAATTTCCTTATGCACTGAGAAAATGTCAGTGGTAACGGTGTGGTTGCGAGCGCCCTCTCTCTGTCTCTCCAGGCTTTTTCTCTCTGTTTAATGCTGGGGTACTAGACATAAGCAAACTCACATTATTATGTACTTTTTGTTACTTTTATCCTCTTGGGCTGCAACACAAACTTGTTGTGGAATACAAGAAGCAAATGTATTTTACTTTTTTTCAAGCTTCACATCAAACCGTTCTTAGCCATTCATGCAAAAAATTCTCAGTGCGTGAACTTTGAGGCGTTTTCCACAGATCTCGAAAATTCTGGATTCTCTGCATCATAGGCTTGTGCTAAGACTTATGAGCTATGTTTACCAGCTAATACATGTAATTATACCATACACTTGTCAACTGGACATGCTCAGAACCTTAAAGCGAGAACAATGCAACGATGACAAATTTAAAGTAAGAAAAACATCCTTCAAAGCTGGTTACAATTTTTAAGCAAAGAATTCGCTTAAAACACAGGGATCATTAAATTGGTAGAGACCACATCAGTATTTTCAAAATCTTCTGATTTTTGAGAAAGCCTGCCAATAAAAAAGGTCTGCCTGGTCATTTAAATGCATGCCGTTGCGTGAAAAGATACTTCAAATGTGCCCCAAAATTTCCTTGGGCCAAAATACGGAATTCAGTTACAAATTTGTGCTGGCTTTTTTGTGATTTATGATAACGTTTTTCTAATTTGTTCTGATCTGCTGAAATTCCAGGAACTTCTCTGTTTATAGCTTCAGAGATTATGAAACTTCGGAGTTAATTATTATTGCTTTACAGCTAAATAAATTTTCCATATGTTTATAGCGTTTTAAACAAGTATTAGTCTCTGAGAAAACGTTGATGTTTCTATGGTTATTCTTTGGCAACTTGGGCAAGCTAGACTCCTCGGTCATAGCAATGATTCCCCGCACGTGACCAACATGTTGGAATTGACGTCTTCTGATGGGTTCATTGCTCACTCCTTAACCACATGGATTGTCATGTAGTCGGCCATACCAACACGAGCATCTGTGGAGCAAATGTCAACGAAATGTGACAATGACTACATTGGTCGTGATATTTCAGGGAAAGACGGTTGTGCTCATGTGTTTCATTTCGAGTTTTTTTGTTGCGAATAATGATTGGGACTTTGTCTCGTTAACTGGGATTTCTGGACCTTTGGCTTTTGGAACTTTGTCTTGTTTATTACCGTTGAACGCCTGGGATTTTGTCTTCTTCATTGCTGTTATACGTCTGTCAATCTGTCAGTCGAGATGTCTGTCTTTTTTGGAAGGCCATCAATTAGGATCCTTTAGTGATTTGCTGTTAGTCTTATTTAGCTTTGATTCATAACTGTCGTTGTGAATGTAGCTGATCACCTTATTTAACATTAAATGCGTTGGTTGAAATATTTTCATCTTAATATTAAGTAGTAATTTATTTAAACATTGCACAAGTATATTAAAACCAACCGTAGTGTACGATTGTCAGTAAGCCTATCTTACTGAGTTGTGTCTTCATCTGTTTACATGGAGCCCCGTTAACTCCACTTTCTTTTCAAATTTTTCACCGTGTTCTGTCATCTGAATGAGACAATGCAAAGATACTTCTCGAAGATAATAGTGTTTTTATTTTGTAGGGACCACAACACGTGGAAATCTTATTTCTTCAGCGTTACCTGACGCAATCAGTGGTACAGCGTCGTGCGTGGTGCTGTAGAGGATTGCGAAGGGATTTATCGAAGCGCAAGCTTCCCTCTGAGCAGTAACGAAGAGCCATCCCACATTGGCTGTCAGTGAACAATTGCCAGGGAAGTCGCTGATGACGAATTGTCTGGGCCTATATAGAAACAGCAGAACTAAAATGGTTACATGACCGACGCCTGGCGGAAGCATTGTTGCTTGTATCTTGCCCAGAGCACCTACATGTGGGTCCATCGGTGTGTGATGGGATGAGGAAATGCCAGGCCGATCGTGTCATATCATGGAGGAAGAAAAAAAAAATACATTGAGCTAAATCTGCGAGTATGGGTTGAAGTGACTGTAAAGAGAGCTGGGCCACACTGCTATATGTCGCTACATGTACGGGCTCTTTATTTATGAATGGAGACAAGATGAGACCGCAGTTACAAACACTCTTAGTCGTCATTTTATATTGGTTAGGATATCTTTAGCCATTTAACGCAGCACACGAGTGCAAAAGGGCTCATCTCTGCAATACGAGGGATTCACAAAACAGTGCGCCATCACGGGGCTGCCACAGAAAGATTTTTTCGCAGTGCATTGTGGGAAATGCATTAACCCAGCAGTCCCAAATCCTCCAATATGATTTTACATACACCTTAAGGGGTTAGGGTTAATGGTCGACTATGGTCAAATTCTATTCACCAGCTATACACGGGGAATTTGAATTTTCCCCAGTGTCTATCAGAGAAGGAGATGCATCACTTCAGTGTATTTCGAGTAGCAATTTTAATTGCAGATCGTGGCAAGGCGGCCATGCTTTTGTCGACGATAAACTTTTTAAAAAAAAAGGCCTCTCCCTGCAATGTTTTGGTGGGCACTGTGTTGTGAATCGCCCGTATTCATTCAAACGAATTGGGCAGTGCCCTTGCATTCCTGCTGATCATAGTCATAAGGTCATTTTTTGAATATATGAACAAGAGATAACGTCTGTTCTGATGCGCCGTCAAGCTGAGTTTTAATTACCAGAACAGTGTATCTCCAATAGGAAATTTGCCGTCTTTAAGTTCAAGATGTTGCCACCAAGGAGACGACAATAGTTCGTCTCTCCGGAACCAGTCGGTGATGTTCAATTGATTCCCTCTGAAGATCAGCTTTGCTAAAGGCTGTACTCCGTCAGTACTGTACAGGGAAAGCTTCACCTGCAACAAAAAAGCGTTCTCTGTCGAGGGGTTCATTTAAAAGAGATTCCAGTCTGTTTATATGAGAATGCCACTTTTGCAACGTATTAGTCTTGGGACAAGACGCTAGTCTAGTCTTGAATTAGTAATGCATGGATTGTCAGTCATCGCCGAAATACTGCGCCATCACACACAAACCGCTGTGAAAAGATCTTCTTGTATGATGAATAACGATTGTGATGACGAAGACCGTCAACATGATTTCCCTAATGCTTGAAATCCAGTTGTGCTCTACCTAAATAAATATTATATATTTTTACAAAAAGGGACTCATAGAAGTGAATTTCCCCATCACTTACAAACTTTATATGGCTGCTGCAATATTTCCATGCATCGTAGATAGCTTGGTCCCGGAAATTTCCGTGGACGTCCAAGGTCGACTCCCAGTGAGGATTAGTCCACATTTCATACAGGTCTTGCCCACCTGCCTGACCCATGAAAACGAGTTGCCACTGCAAAGCTATAAATGTCAAAATTTGTTGTCATGTTAAAGAAAAAGTTCCATAACTGAGAACGGTTAACATATGATTTATTACATCCTTGTCTGTGGTATATACAGATTTGTGTGAACAAGCTACATCTCAGGCGATTCCTCGATGTGTTGCTCTCAAGAGTGATTTAAGCCTCGTTTAGTTGGTGAAACGTTGCTGTGCAATGTTGGTTATCACCGGTGCACCGTACATTGCGCGACCGTAACCCTTGGTATTTTGTTATTAAAAGATCTGAGTGTTATGAAATTTAATTATGTTGATTCGTTGAATCAAAAATATGATATCGAATTCCTTCCCCTATCAAAAATATTGACGACAGATAACCACTGTCCACTAAAATACAGTTACCGCCATATGCACATACGTAGTACTATCCGCATTTAGTGGGAGTGTTTAGATTGCTTTACTTTGCTAAATCTACCCATTGCAAATGCATTACAATTCTAAAACAGTTCCTAAATTGTTCTTAGTATTTTTTGCATATTGATCTCAACTTTGTAACTACGTTGATAACGCTGACACGGTGTTTAAAAAACGTACATGTGCGTGCTGTGTCTAAAATAGAAGGAATTTACTACAGACAAGAGGTCATACTTTATTTTAAGAGGCGGTTGATACATACCTGCTGTGAAAAGACACGAAACCAAACTGAAGTCCGTAGTATTAGGGATAGACGTATTAGGGTAGACAGAAACGAAGCCACAAAGAACGACTTTTGTCATATGTATCTTATGATCTGTATAGTACGTACTTTATGCGTCCGTGCGTCGTTCTACGTGGACTCCTTTCTGTGTACCACGTGTAAGTTCTTTCAAAACAGTCGGTATCCGTCGATTTGGTACCGGACTACATCTGAATTGGAGCATTCGATAAGTTTAACGCGCGACAAAGTGTTTTCAAATCTGAAGTTTTGTTTGGCAGAATCAACCATTTCACCCTTTACCCTTTTTTAACCCTTTTTAATTATCATTGCTATCCCTTATGGGACAGGTCATTCCATTCCCTCGCTGTCTAGACAAAACAAGAATATTCGAGACAATCAGTTGTAGAAAAAGGAGTAGTTAATTTTAGTTAGTAGTGTTATTCACAATTTGATTGCAAAGCACAAGGCGAAGGAATTTTCTTCTTGTTTGAAGACTTGTCCGGCCAAGTCGAGAGAGCAGTGAATCATAGCTTGAGTCCCAATCTCAGCACATATATCTGACGCATTGATTTTGGATACGCTCGATGATGTCCGAATGGCTATGCCTATACGGTTCCCACGTCCTGCAACAGTAGTCTACCCGGGGCCTAATCAAGGAAACGTACATCTTTTAAACTCGTTACCAGAGCAGCTTGGCAGGGTTCTCTTAATCAACCCCATGATTTTGGTGCACTTCGTGTGAATTTCTTGACGGTGACCTTGCCAGTTTAGTGACGCTCAAATATTTTTCAGTGGTTGGGTTCGGCAATGTATGCCCATCCATGCGACAATTGTAGCTTGTGTTGGTGTGTTTCTAGAAATCTTCAAGAGTTTACATTTATCAACATTAAAATTGAGTTTTTCAAGATGTATTTTTGCGCTGTGGAGATGTTAATTATATATAACGGGTTTGCCCTTACCCAACGTATATTAATAAGCACTGTATGCTCACTGCTTGTCCAAGAGCTTGCGA